CCACAACGCATTGTATTTACCAATTTGTTTGGAACTGCAGAAGTAGTTACATTGACAGAACAGATCGATTCTTGGGTAAGATCATTGAAGAGCATATCCCAAAACGGATTGCTAAACTATCGACACAACAAGCAGCCGAACAAGAAAAGGTATCTAAGCTGCCGGCATCATCTATCGCCAGACATCTAATCGAAACAGGCCATCAGGTTGACCCTGGGTCAACATTTACAGTTATCTATCGAAATGAAAACCCCAAAGTTTTGAGGTTTGCCGAAGCTGTGGCACTTAACCGGCATCGCCCTATCCTTTGTGTACGGAAACAATTAACAGTCTCCCTAAAGCTTCCATGGGTTCATGACTTTAAGAGCAAGCTCATTGATCTGTTATTCTTGCCTCTACGTAATTTTTCTTTGTGAATTCAGTAACTGAAAAATTCCCATTTAATTATCAAGAACCAGTTTCAAAAGTTCGACTTTTCTGTCACGTGATTCATAGTTATGTTGTTAGTTTGCGAGTGGGCAGATAACACGAAATGGTTCCATCTCGCAATACCAGTCTTCTCATTGTCTGTTAGAATTTAGAAATTATCATTCGCCATCATCAATGTTGCTTTTCCTATTATACCTGCGTCGCAGTGACAGATTGCCATTTACCAAATGATGCACCTTTCGCTTTCATTGTACCTAGCGCTAGAATCTGTTGCTATTAGAAACTTCCTTTTCATTCTGAAGTATCTTTCTCAAGAGGATAAAGCTTTCGGCATGATTCCCGATTTTAGGTGTCCCATCTCAACTACCAGGGAAATTACAAGGACGCCTGCCAAACTTTATGTATTCTTTGCAAATTATGTCTACATTTTTGGATTATTCTTTGCCAGACATCTACGCTTGTTATTTTACTGATTAACATTCCATACTTGATACTATCGTTATTTTATTCCTTCCCCGAGTCCATAATGAATCGGGACTTCTGAACATGTTTCAATCGATTGATGAAGTTAGATTGTGCGTCAGCGGCAATTTGAAAGATTGACTTGGCTACTGAAGTCCCTTTTCCGCCTTCTGGTCAGACTGTGCTGGTTCAGACCGATAGCACACCAGTTAACGAAGGATCCAACCCCGGCACATTTTTCTGCACTTCACCCTGAACAACGAGCATGTGTGAAACTGTCATGAAGATAACAGAATGCATATTCCCATCCAATATGTAAAGGCGGTTTAGTGAAAAAATCGGTAAATATTTTGATCATGCCCTATGTGTGAACAGTCTCGTACCGTCGAAATAAAGATCTACTGATTCATCAATATGCGTAAATATTCATACTACTTATGCTATTTCGGTAGCTGTTCTTGCAAATGCATTTGCGATAAGGTTGATGAGCCAAACCTTTGGATGGAATTAGAGGCCTGCAGGGAAAGAGCATTCTCGATCTTTGGCAAATTCATAAAACACAGATGCGAACAGCCTAACACGCACAATGGCTTCAGCTATTGAACAGGGAAATAATTATTTCGGCTGGTCCGTTTATAGGTTACGACGAACCATTGCGTGACGTAGGCGCGTATTTCATATCCATCGTGAAAAAGAAGCATTGCATTAAAGTGACGCAATTAACTTCAGCCAATATCCCTGCGATCATACAATGTTCACTTGTGTGCCTCAATGTTTGTACACGAGCTGATGTAATCTGACTTGCGTGGCGCATCTTTCACACTCATGGATGGCCAATGCAGTTCAGTTATCGCGCAAGAAAATGTGTACTTATCGCAGTTGACGCAATTCTAACATATCAGCGTTTAAGTAGTAGAGCAAAAACCAGCTGCAATCAATAAATTGTTAAGCGTGAAACCATGCAGGTACTAACACGCCAGGCAATTGAGGTCAACGATGGACCAGCGATAACGAATTTAGAAAAAATACACACTACTAATTGGTTTAAGTAGTTTGTCGAAATGTAAGCGATAACAGAACGAAGCGCGAGCAATGCCAGTTCACAATTTACTGGCGACGTCACGAGGTCATTCGAACACGAATCATAATCCGTCATGCAGTATTTGGCAATCCGGTAGACCTTAACGAGTCGATGAAAACTTAGTCGCTGTGGCGTGTTGTACGCTGAGAATGGCGACGAAGGCAGTGTGAGGCAACCATATTGACGGTCGAAATAAACACAAAATCAAGGCTGGAAACGTTAACATATTTCTGCCTCAAGCTAACAATATCCATAGTGTAGGACAGCTGATGCTCAGCAGTGAAACCATGCCATGAGAGCGATATCAATGAGATGGGAAGAATGCGCTCACAAAGAAGCAATGTATTCCCCTAATCACGCCGGTTGGCACCGTATCCACTAGCTAAGAAAAAAAAGACTCAAGACCCAAGAAAAGAGCAAATAACTCCAGTTGTTAATTGATCCAATTGGTGCCAAGAATGCAAGTAAAAGCAGATGTCAATCGCGAACACCACACTGTGTCAAACAAATCTATTGAAACCAATTCAGATGATATGGAAGAAGACGAAAACTGCATGCATTTCGGCCAACTGCTAGAGCCGAAAAACTTTGTGCACACGGCAGCCAGAAAAGGTTTACTTCGAGTTAGCATACAAAGGTGAAGATGTTGAAGACAACTAGGTGTGTGATCACGGGTAAGCGCAGTAGCCATTACGCTGCACGAACCATAAATTTGCCGGTACATCACACGTAGGAAGACAAGCCTATGTGGGCCTAACCACACTGCAAATACTAATTCGTGTGACTGTGGAGCCAGTTACCTAAGTGGAAGCGATAGGACTTGAATACCCGAGTGAACGAATCTACCGAGATCGATTTAGTGTGAAACTGGTCTGTACGAGCTTTCCTATACGAATATGACAAGAATCCAAAGTAACGTATAAACATGATAGGCTGTTGGAATAAATAAATAAATAGATAGTGGTGCTAACCGCTATCCGCTGCATAGTTCGTAACTGACATGACAGTGAAAGATGAGGTGGGCTAGATCATAGTCAACTGTCAATCGTGCAGATCCGCGGCAGGCACCCATAGCTTATTTGCCCTAACTGCTGGCATCCGGAAGTCATGGGGTCGGAACCTGACAGGGGCCCGATGGAAGGCGCACCACTAAGGAGACGCAGAAGGTAGAAACAACGCTGTGGTGCTTTTCCAGACTTACCAAAGCCTGCTGACTGAGAATGGACGGTGTTGAATTATCTTTAATAAAATAAAAATTTTATTCTCGAATGTTTCGAGGCATAATCAAGCATGATCAAAATGGTGTGAACTGACGGGAAGATTCAAGTTTGTGGTCATAAACCCCCACTCTCGATATCTGGATGCAAGAAAGAAAATCTTATCGTTACTACGAATCGGTTACAAAAATGAGTCATCATAATACTAACTTCAGAATGCAACACGGATCTATGCAGCAAACCGGTCAAGCGGATGTCGTTTCATCTCATAAATTCGCACTCGAAGGAAAACGATGACCGCCTGATCGTAGACATAGGATTCGGATCAGAAGTATAGCGAATCCTGGTTGAAAATGTGAAGGAACTGCCAGTAACTGCTGATACAAAAGTAATAAGGACGGTCCCACGAATGGCTGTATTACTTTAATTGGATCTCTGATTGTTTCGTTTTCTATAGAAGTTGCTGCAGCTCTTGCTCTACTTTGATGCATTCGTTCCCATAAGTGGCTACAATGCCGTAACATTATTGCGAAATCCTGATCATGCCGGAAAGGTCACGTCTGGATAAAGCGAGAAAAAACTATATTATTATTATTACTTTAGGCAGACTTTTTTTGAAAGCGATTCAGTTTGTACAGTCATATTGGCCACGACCATTAATAATCGTCTCTTTTAATCGCGGACAATTGCCTAGTGTTCGGAGACCGAGCCGTTGTAGCAAAGAAGTTGCAGAAGTGAACTACATAGTAGTTTCATTCGGGAAATCCCGGAACCGGCCAAATGAAAAATAAAGCATGCAGTTTGGTTTATCGGCTATAGGTGCACTGGGAAACTTAGGTTTTGTCATAAACGTGAGTCTTGTCAACAGGTGGTGAAGGATCACCTAAATGTTTGTGGTAACCATGGCCTGGGACAGAGAAGACCTGGCAAAGAATCCAGTTGGACTACGCGGGACCAAACAGGCTCCGATGGTTGCACCACGTGTTGAGCATGCCAACCCATCGACAGCTACGCCATGCGTTGTTTGTACGATAGCCAGCCGTTTGTTAAGGTAAATTACTGACAAGGTGTAGCTGCCTTGACCCTGAATGTTAGCTTAGGGCATTAATGTTGTTCTGTAGGTCGGTATGGTTGTATGGCAGTGAAGCATCAGTTCAAATGCCTGATGTACTGCTGCTGATGATGATGTTTGTGCGGCGCAGGTGTGGATGGAAGAATAAAGTGGGCCAAGAGATGAATTGGTCAAGAGGAATGAAAACCCTCACTTCCGTCGGTTGGTTTCTTCCAGCTGCCGGACTAGAGACCGAAAGACAATGAAGAGGTCTGTTTGGATTCACTAGTTGACGTGGCAAGGGGCTGACCGCAGTGGTGTTTATACTGTGCGTCTCGTTGTCCTTCCTCATCCAGCTTATCTTCCCCTACAAGCATGATTTCCTTTTTGAAGCACAATAGGATAGTAAGTAGTGCGTTACCTCTTGTATTCCATAATGTTTATTATGTCGCTTCTTCGTATATTTTACCTTTATGTATTGCGGCACAGTTGCTGGTGATTTTCACCTTGATGATGAGGATTGATGATGACGATGAAACAACAGTTTCAGCTGATTGCAGTAGATTTCTTCACTAAGTGGCCTAATATGATAACGATAAGCAATCCCATTGCCCAGCTCACTAGCACCACTGTATCACTCGCAATCAGGCGGTTGAAAAGGTTCGTATTTACCTTAAAACGTGCTCTTCGTAAAGCAAGAGGAAGAAAAAATGTTACATGACGCTCTAAGCCAGCCAACCGATAGTAGGTATCCTGTCGACTACTCACCGTACACAAAACGTTCCTTTCCGATGGAATACATTCCACAAACGACCATGGTCGATGGATCTTTAGATAGCTGGTTTCGGGTGATCTCTACTGCACTCGAGATGACCGAATGCTGAGTGGGAAAGTCGTATTGTGGAGACAAGTATCTGAAAAGAAAGGAAGAATAACAATTGTAGTTAAGGCAATTGTGAAACCAGGTTTGGCACATAAAATCAACAGTCGATCAGGCAATGAAACAGGAAGTAAATAAAACGAATTGCTGAGAAAGGAGAGTGTGACGAGTTATCTTGGGTTACTAAGGTGATGAATGTGCGTTTGAAACTAGTGGATTTCGAGAGGCATGGATCCTTTCAAGAGTTTAAGGGAAGCCATCTGCTGGGTATATTACGAAAAGTGCCAATGTTTAATCCCCCGATTTACAGTCAACTTTTGAGTGGTTGCTTTTCTTGCGTAAACCACAGAAAAGAGACAAACTGACAGAGTTTGCGGAAGACAAATCCTCTTGAGATCGGATCCAACCGATATGCAAGAGCTTGCCAAGAACGATGCGCAGCACTACGTGTTTCGGCATGTGCTTCGTGGCCTCAAAGTGAAACACGTTACTACAGCATCCGATAGACACACGTTCGACTCTCACTCTCATCGGATAAAGCCGGGAAATGTTCGATGTACCCACAGAATCACGTGGATGCATCCCTTCTGATGGGTAAGTCCCAAAGCATACCATCACGTGACCCTTTATGATTCAAGTACCTGTGGAGATGGTGACACATTGTTGTATGTGCCAAGAGAGCGCATAATGCTGTAATGTAACCAGTTCAGATGTGCAGAGCAGAGGCATGGATAATGCAAGTTGAAGGCACCGGGGTTCCGGTTGGTTTAACCACTGATGTCTAAGCAGCATAGCCCGTATGTGGCGAGACGACCTAGTTGTTGGTAATAAACCTATCAATGCGCCGAACATTCCGTCGAACGTGCACTTCCTATGCTGCGTGGATTACGCTCACCACCTGCCCATCTTACTAGCACCCCGGCACACACTGTATGCCGTTTCTGTTGGATGGATAATTGATGATGTGGTAGAATCGTAAGGGAACGTTTAAAGGTTTGGAAGGGACGATGAATAGGTGACGGGATTCCCATATCAAAAGCCGGAGAATCGGGCCAGAAAGGCGTTGTGGTAGTTGGCTTCTTCGAGTGACTGTTTTTTTGAGACTAATTTATGAGAAGTAAGACAATGCGCATTTTTTCTTCGTTGGCGCCGTTTTCATTGTCCTGTGAAACGGTTTCCTTTTTGCGACCTGTTGATTTAATCGCTAAGGGACACTACGCTATCGATCGTTCTTTTCCGTTTCAGCCGGTGCACCTCTAAACTCCCCAATCTGTACCGCTTTCAGCTAGAAGGGTGCCAGTCGTTGGGTTTCTTTTCTTGCAATGATTTGTTTAATTTGGGCTCTTGGAACTAGTGCAAAGTGTGGCGATGGAGGTGTTAATTTTCTCTCCCCAACCCTGCCCGCCGATGCTGATTTGAAGCTGATGACGTAAGGTCAGATCAAGCTTATGGAAATGTTGGTCTCAAAAATCGCCACTTTGTGGTCGCCTTCTTCCCTCGCAGGATTACTGTCCGTGGACCAAGAAGCAAAAAACATCGCAGACTTCCAGTATGATCCGCAAGCTGGCGTGACGTTCGAATCAAGCAAAGCGACACGAGGATTTCTTCTGGATTGAAATGGCCAACCGAGATGATGATACCAAAGTTCGGCTACTTCTATGAAAAGTGGGCCCCGCGGAACATGCCCGTTATCATCCATCTTCCACGCCGAACCGCGGTTACGCAGCTTCAACGAGACGGTGTACACAGTGACGTCGATTTTTGGAGACACTTCATCTTTGCTTAATACTTGGTTCCCGTGTCCCCAAATAGTCAAGAGGGACGCCGACGACTTTGTCACATACACTGCTCTCGCCGATCCTGAGTGCGGTCGGTTCAAGCTCAGATGTCATACAGAAGATCAATTCCGGTGCTTGATTTTTGTGTGTGGTCCCCAGTCATCATGGGATGCAGATCTCTGAACCAAATTAATGGCTAAGATCGATTTGGAACCGGACATCACACTGGCACAATTAGTGCACGAGTGCGAACGGCTTATCAACGTAAAGCACGATTCTGACATGATTCAGCAGACAGACAGAACGTCTGGCTCTGCTTCCATGATCGCTGCAACTCAATCTAAGCAGAAGTTGTCATCACAGCCATCAAATGCTAGCCAGGTCAATCCAAAGAAGCCCACATACGCTTGTCCCTACTGTGGTTCTTGGCATTACCACAGGTTCCGCCTGTTTAGACAACACTGTTGCTGACGGTGTCACACAGTCGGACATAAAGGTTACTGTCAATCGCCGCCACTTACTATGAATAGGTCAGTCCGCTTCTCGTTGATTTATTCGCTATGGAACACCGCTATCGATCGTTCTCTTTAACTTTTCAGCCGATGCACTTTTGAATTCCCCAAGCGGTACCAGCTTCAGTTGGACGATTGTCAGCAGTTAGTTTGTTTTCCTACTTGAAAGTCGGATATTTTGCATTGGGCTCCTGGAGCTAGTTTGAAGCGTGTGAACGGAGCAATCATCCGTGGCGATTTCCAATCAGTACCAAAAGGGCAGTTAACAACTTGGTGATACTCTTTCATTTGATCCAGTGTTCTGATCTGTCCATTCCTCCATCCAGCGATAATGAGTGCCTTGATTCGTTTCTTAGTAGGTTTATCCGTGTTTCTGTCCACCTTTTATCCCTCATGTCCTCGCGCTGATAAGTGCTAAATTTACGCTAGGTTCAGGTCGGGTCGTTTATTAGGCCTCGTTCGCATACCGTTCTAGGTCCCGAGAACAGTTAAAGAAACCGTAAACTACATGTTTAGGCTCAACACTAGGTGGTGTACAAAACCCATAGCATATGATTCGTCGATTGAAAAGCAGTATGCAACAGAACTGTCACAGTGAGCTGATAGCATAATGTCTGGTTAGCCAGTACAGAAGCGTCCGTTACTATCGTTCGGCAGTAGCACATAGAGAGAGAGTCACTTCCCACCGTTCGTTGGGCATGCACAGTGCACATAAGATCGCATAGTGTGGAAGAGCACGGATAATGTGCTGCACTCTTATACTTCTTGTGGTACGCCGGTAGAGACCAGGCGGCATGTGTCGATGTGATAGCTCCATCAAGCGAGTACGCTGTTCTTAGATAGCTACAGAAGAGAGTCTGATAGGTTGAAATCTGACTTGTCAGTGTGACGTTTGCTTAAGCGTCATGTAGAGGAAGCTGGCATCAGGACAGTGAAAACTGCTCAGCATAGGTGAGAACAACTGGTCTCGGTTCACGGGATGGAAAGAAACATTTTGACGGAGGTTGGGCATTCACATGACTCTTCCACCGTCATTTCCTCGACTACGTGCTAATGAACCCAGTGGTAGTGTGGGCGAAGAGGATGTCTCATCGTTAAAATGTGTGCCTAGTAATGTTTCGCCACAGAAGCATGCACAAGGTCACATCACATGCCCTACGATCATAGTTAATGAGGTCGTGTTCTTACGCTCGCGAGCATTTTCATCCCCATAAATCGGATGCCGTGGGTGCGTAAATGCAGCATAACAGGCCGGAAAAATCAAACAACGGACCCAACGAAGTTTCTTCGTGAACAGGATTGATATTCAATTTGGTTTATCTAGCGACGACTAAGTTGGGGTAAGCTATCAGTAGGTTTCTGTGTAAGTTCGTCGCAGTTAGACACAGGTAGACAGCCACCACACATCCAGGAAAGCGCTAGACGGCCGTTTCGTCCTATTGGGACTCGTCAGTAGCGCGCACCCGCCGAATCCTACCGGATTCGAACCCACGAACTTACTCTTGAACTTACTCTTGCAAAGGAGATCGTTGCTCTGGGGGCCAGCCCTATCCTCTGCACATTCACAACATGCAAGACAATGGAGGATAAGCAGCGCCATATCGCAGTTAGATATCAGTCATGGCGGTCCGCTGCCGTCACCCATGGATCAGTGACACAAGTCGCTGACTTGCAAGAGTAAGTTCGCGGGTTCGAATCCGGCAGGATTCGGCGGGTGCGCGCTACTGACGAGTCCCAATAGGACGAAACGGCCGTCTAGCGCTTTCCTGGATGTGTGGTGGCTGTCTACCTGTGTCTAACTGTGACGAACATACACAAAAACCTAATAAATCCCGCTACTAGTTACAAACTATCAATGCGTATCGATAGCAGGACCCCAATAAGTTACACTAACGCCTTAGTGTCATAGGACCACAACTATGCAAGTAATGGGAAATGGAGAATCAATCAGCAGTACGGCCCGTGGCCTAAGAGATTACAAGCACACTTTGTAACCTGGAGGTCACGGGTTCGAGCCTGTGTAGATGACCAGGCGACCCCCGCAGTATCCTTAGCGTACACGCGACTAGTGATGGTTGCGTGGCAGCGAAGCGTCGGTACTGCTTACCGGCGTACTGATGATGCCAATACACTGTACTGACGCTACACTGCCACGTGGCCGCCACCAGTCGTACTGGGGCCGAGTATAAAGTAAGGTGTCTCACATCTACGCTGGTGGCTTTAGCGTTACAACGCTAGTGTGCAATCCTTTCGGGAACCGGCCGATGTTATAGATTCAAAATACCAGTTCTAGTCATCACAAGATGTGAATTAGGCTCAGTAGTAGCATACTCAAGACTGTTAATGCAACTACCACAAACATGACTTGATCAACTATCTTTAGATATGCTTACCACTACAAGGGGTTGAAATGCTGGCACATGCAACTGGTAGTTCTGCAACTGCACTTTTCACTCTGGAGATGTAAAGCGCATTCCAAAGTAGGAAACCACACTACTGTATAGCTTGTGCAAGACAGATAAGCCAGTTCTCCTCAAGTAGAATCTCAAAGTGTGTATGGTTAGACTCACAAGGAAGCAGTGTGTGATGGAGTGTAGGGTAGATGGAGTAGAAATGCAGAAGTCGAACAGCTCCAGCGAAAGGTGTTCGAAAATTCCCCGTAGAGTCTGAGACACCCCGAGGAGCTCTAATTTGTGTATTGTGTACGGGTGTGCTATGAAACTGGGAAGGGTGCACAGATGAATAGACGAAGTTGACACCAAAATATGGAGTGAAACAACGTGCAACCAATGAATGATACACCAGCACGTGCAACCTAGCAGGCCGGAGTGGTAAGTAAGTAGATGGCTTCAATAACAAAAACTGAGGCAAATGCTAACTAGCAAAGTATGGAACAAGTGGATCGCGAATGACTTCCTGGTGGGTCCAATTGCTTTGCTTAGGAACTTAGAGATGATTCAGTCAAGTAAACAATTTCACAATCCTCAATACTAAATGTAGCAGAAGAAAGGAAGTTACTACAAAGATACCGCGTTCTGTATGACTTACGTTGTATCTAGGTAAACTGCATTGAGGATTGAGAGTGAACCATTGTCAGTAGGTAAAGCAGGTAGAAAGGTAGCCAGAGGACTGGAAGAATTGAGCATGCTTGGTTCAAACCTGAAGTCTCCTGTGTGCAGGATGAACTGATTCGCCCGTTTCAAATGAAACAGGAACATCACGGAACCAGGACAACTGATAAACACAGACAGGTGGATAGTAAGCATAGTCAGAAAACAAATGATCAAATGACATCAGCTAATATAAAGTGCTGCTCACAGTGTAACAGAAACTGCGGCAGCGTCCCGCAAGTTTGCGCGCATCACATCAAAAACGCGATAACAAGAACAAACAGAAGTGATGGAAAATGCTGGGCATCTTATGGTGCATGATGCACGACAAAAGGTGAAACCGGGCTAAACAAAAGTGAAAGGTAATATAAATAGACCATTCGACTCAAACAAGGACGAAAGCAGGTTTAGAGATCATATCCAATGCAATAAAGATCATTTGAGTGGAACGAGGTGCTAGCATATTGGAAGCTGGGGATACTATTGCAGGTTCCAAGTGGGGCTTGGAGATATTAAACAGCAACGGTGTGAAAGCACAAGCGATCGGTATTTGCTTGATATTTAACTACTCTGGACTGTTTAGATACATTGAATGTACAGAAATAAGGTGTAATAACTACCCAAAGAGAAAATTGTAAAATGAGAACGGAGTAGTTGAATTCCGGTAAAAAGTCGCTGCACACAAGGATAGTGCAAGAAAAGTCGTGACTGTGGACCAAGCATATTCTTTGCCCGGTAGTATAGTGTGCATGGGAATTGATAGAAGGTTATGCATATCGTTGACTCCCTAATGCCAACGCGTTGCAAAGACGTGAGTTATGAATTCCAATTCAGCGGAGTAATAGCAAGACTTAACGGTCGTTCTGTGTTTATGTGAGTGTGTCATAGCTGTCTGACTGAGTGCCTGATGAATACAAATGAAAATACTCAACTTCCTTAGTACTTCTTTAAAACGCGAGAAATCTGTGCGCAACATAACGTCCGAACAAAAATACTCAGTAGTGCACATGGAAACATTTGAAAAGCAGTTTATCAAAGTAAAATGTAGAACATAATGCAGCTCAGTTCGTTGTGTTTAACGCCAATGTCAAGGGGATAATCCGGACGGAGCGTCCAGCGAAAGGTAATAACAAAGTCAAGCAGGTCAGGTGTAAGATATACGAAGGCGATATGGCAAACGTTACTGTTGCGAGGACAACTCACTGATTAGCATCTATAGCTAAGATAGATACGCCGTCAAGGTGAAGCCATGTATTTAACTCCATCGCCACGATGTCAAGGTTGGGGCCGAAGGTAACTCTTAAGAAACCTTCAGTTATCTTGAAGGTATGAATGAGTGGGGGAATCAGAAACCAACATTGCTGCAGTAAATACGTCCAACAAATTTAGACGAAAGACCACCATAATGATCGGAATGGAAATGAGACAAGAAGTAACCCAGACACCCTGGAATCGTGCCATATTTGAATGCGTCGACGGTAAATTTTGTCCCTAATGATGTGGTCAAGTTATCTGTGGAAATCACCTGGTATCCATTTAAAAAATGGACAGGCTCGCTTGAAGCCGCTTCCGGATTCTGTGGGTGCATTGACATTGAGCTTGGCAGGAAGTGAAATCGAGGCCATTGAAGTTTCTCTGGCTACGCAGTTATCGTGATGAGAAATGGGTTCTTCCACTCTGGTTCCATTTATCTTGAAAAAGGATAACAACGATTCGCCGCGATACACCGGGTTATGATTACGCAATGCCATGCGAATCTACTAGGGAATGGCACAGGTCTGGTAACAATAAAAAGACAAGATGCACCAACTAGAAGTTCCGATAAGTAATGGTACAAAATTGCCATGAACAGTGGAAATGCATATAACAGATAACTACAACACTGCATATCCCAGAGGTATTCCATTTGGAAAGGCTAAAATCGGGACCAGTGGCCAAGTCTAAGCGATGCAAAAGAATATCTTCGTAAACATCCCCGCTTCAGGGGGGGGGAGTTGACAGATGATCCATAAATCAAGAATGAGGCTAAGTTCATAAACAACACTTTGCTCAAAATCATTAATGTGCGAGTTTAATGGAACGGCCGCTCATCCTGTCAGTCAAGCAACAAACAGGGAACCAGAAAAGCATAGAAGAAAAAGGTAGGATTCGGTTTGGGGTGAAGTAACAGCGGAGACCCAATCATTGAATGAGCACATAGTGGTCGACTGATTCGGTGTTCGGCTAACATAATTTGTCACCTGACTCAAGTTTTAAACATTTACGGAGACGAAGTAGGCGTCAGCCTGATTGTCGAAGGCAAGACATTTCGTGCCGCTACGCGTTCGGTGCTACTAAATGGACCATAAACATGATCATTACGCAACGTCCAAATCAGGATGAAACCGGTCGGCCGTGGGGTGCAATACTGGGGGAAAACAGTGATGTAACTCCACCTCGGATACGGTTCCAGTGATCGAAATGGCTGAGGTTTGTTTCAAATGAGATTGTGTGTCGCAATCCTGCCACACGGAGATTGATCCAAGAAACAAAAAGAAGTTGGCTTTGGTCATCGGTGGTTACAGAGTACTACCGATGTAGTGTAATCTCAACAGTATAGCAACTAGACATAGAGCCAACAAAGTCATGGAGATCAGTGGATGGGAGACAGTCATTGCGTCACAATCATCGTGGCATAGTAGTTGAAGGTGAGCAACACACTTCAGCTAATATGCCGCAGGAAAAAAGGAACATTTTTACAAAGTAGAACAAAACATTTTTAGTTTGCTTTTCGCACGCCGATTGTTCTCTTTTTTATCATTTTTAATGTTCGAAGTATTAAACATGCGAATCAATATAACACTGTACACAATTCTTCCACTGATTCTGGTTGCGGGCCATGTCTTCAAGAGTCCTTAGCCATTGGCACTCCTCATCTTTGGGTCCCCATCCTGGAAGACGTACGAATCCAACAGCGGCTAGACACGACATCAGCGACTTCATGTGCTGCCGCCAAGTGGAAGGCTGACCACCACGCGGTCGACTCCAGTAAGGTCCTTGAGGAGCGAATAGAGCGCGACGCGGAAGACGCTCAGGTGCCATGCGGACGACATGACCAAGCCATCTTAACTGGAGCAACAAAACCAGTTTGTTGAAGGAAATACTTGCATGCCCCAAGATGCGATGTCGAAAGTTATTACTATTTACTCGATGTTGCCACCAAACACGAGCGATCCTCCTTAAGCAACCGTTATCGAAGGCAGAAAAACGACGCATGTCTTCCAGGCGAATCGGCCAGGACCCGCCCCCACACAACAATACTGAGCGAACTGATGCGCTGTAAACGCGGCGCTTTAGTGAAAATGAGACGTCGCGACGACGCCACAAGTGCCTCAGATTGACAAATGCTAATCGAGCTTTAGCGATGTGAAATGAAACTTCTTTGTTGATAGTGCCGTCAACAGAAACACAGCTACCGAGGTAGACGAAACTATCTACCTGTTCAAGTTGTGAACCTTCGAGAGCGAGCACGGGAGCAGATGAAAGCCAATCCTTGAGCAGTACTTTACACTTCGATGGGGCGAAGCTCATGCCATACTTAGATGCTTCAACCGTCAAACGATCCAGAATGAGTTGCATACCCTGAGGATCATCACCAAGTAAGGCGATATCATCAGCATAATCTAAATCGGTCGCGCGCTCACCCGGTAGAAGCTCTAGGCCAAAATGTTGGAAACCTTCTAGAGCATTCGACAGAACGTCTTCGATTGCGAAGTTGAAGAGGAATGAGGACATAGGGCAGCCCTGTCGCACACCGCTATTGACAGTGAATGGCGAGGAAAGCTTGCCATAGACCCGCACTCTGACAGATGTATGTACAGTGCTCGTAAGATGGCGATATATTTCTCTGGCACCTCCTTCTTTAGCAAGCAACGCCATAAAGCAGGTCGATCAACAGAGTCAAAAGCGGCACGTATGTCCAGAAATGCAACGATAATGGGCCTGTGATAAATGTGGCGATGTTCAAGGAGTTGGCGGAACGCTAAGATTTGATCCACGCACCCGCGGCCAGGACGGAAACCAGCTTGTTCTTCACGGTAGTATAATCCACGTACTGGGGATAGTCTACGAAGCAGAATGGATGTCAATAGCTTAGAGGCAAGCGAAATAAGACTAATCCCGCGATGATTTGCACATGAAGTACGAGCGCCTTTCTTGAAAATCGGGACAAAAACTGATTCGCCCCAAGATGAAGGTACTTTCTCTTCATGCCAGATTTTGCGAATAGCGCGGTCAGCTGGTTAATGATCGCCACACCACCGTACTTGAATAGCTCCGGAGGAAGTCCGTCTGAGCCGCCAGCATTGAATCACTTCAAGCGCCGAAACTCGAGACAGACATCCGCTTCTCTGGGTGGATTCAGTGTGACGAGCCAAGGTGGAGAACAAGGTGTACTGCATGTACTGATGGATGGTGGAGGCCAGTTGAACTGCGAGTGAAAGTGTTCGGCCCAGCGGTCCATACGCCTCTGTTGGTTGGTGATCGGAGACTCATCCACCTCACAAATGACCTCACTGATAAAAGGTTTTCTGAGGACAGTGGACCGAATGAGTTGGAAAAGCCTGCGAGTGTTGCCAGAGAGGGCAGCAGTCTCCATCTCTAAAGCACGCTCAGACCACCATATCTCGCGATCCTTGCGTAAGCATTGCTTGAGCAGTCGGTTGGCAGAACGGCGCCGCTCGTTGCAATCTGATTCCGCGGGGATCTTTGCGGCGTTCGAACAGCTCCAGAGAACGAGCAGAGATCCAAGAGTTCAAAGGGCGTAGAGTTAGGGCGCAGTTTGACTGTCCGGAAATGGTCATCGCATTCCGTATACAAATCCAGTGTTGCTCCACGTCTTGCGGTGGATTGCAACTGAGTGCATATGCCAGTGAAGACTGATAGCTCTCCTGGACAGAGGAATCAGTTAATCTGTTTACATCAATCTTGCGGTGATTTGTGTTTCGGCCACCCCAAAACATACAGATTTTTGCGCAGACCAGAGCATGATCTGAATCAACGAAAGTGGACCAAAAGGACCTGCAGTCCAGTACGCTGCCGCGCCATCTGAAGCTAATTGCAATGTGATCAATTTGAGACCACGGTTGTGTTGGCGAAGTGGGACGCCACGTTGCGGAACGCTTCTTTGTACGCCTGAAGTTAGTGCTTGAAAGAAACAGACGGTTGTCCCCGCACAATGTGAGAAGTCTCTCTCCGTTATCATAGCGGTTCTCATCGAGCGCGTGATGACCACCAAGATGGCGTTCGTACGGTAACAAACGGCCAACCCGTGCATTAAAATCCCCAGCAAGGATAACGACATCCGACTTTTTAGCATTAGTCAAAAGCTGATGTAGATCTCGGCAGATTTCGTCTTTGACCGAGTCGAAACTGCAGTCAGTTGGAGCGCACACGGAGATCACAAACAAGTTGTGCCTCTCTTCGCGGTGCCTGTTGATTCTGCATGAACACCGAAACCGAACTGCACATAGTCGGCTGTTAATCGGGAACCAGTCCAGTAGTGCCGCCTCGGCCTTGCCACTCAGTGCTATACCGACATCAGCCAAACCCGCTGAGGCTGCTTCTGGATCTCCAGAAAGACGCAGATGATATCTGGCTTCGTGGTCAGTGGGGGATGTCAATGTAAGCACAGTGCTGGGATCTTGCAATCGGGATTCTGAAAGGCAGCAGACATCAACGTCTAGGGAATCTAGGGTGCGCGCTAGAACGGCTTGCTGTTCATTCTGCATGAGTGTCCGAACGTTGAAACACGCCAGACGGAACGAAGATCGGGGACGAAGGAGAGCCATAGGTTGAACTCCTTGATCTGCGGAGCAACCGGAATCGCAGCCGGATTGTTGAACAGATGAATCGGGTAACCGAAAGTGAGGATTGTTAGCAAACAAACAATTGTCGTGTGATGAAGTGGCGTGAAAGTGAGTAGCAGGAACAGTAGCTGATAAGCGCCTTGTAATACAGTCCATGGTTTTGTGAGAGGGCTTGATACTACCCGGTTGTCCAAGCCGAAGTAGGGAGTTGACTTAGGGGACTCCACCCCGAGGTTCTGGGTAAATAACCTACCCGCAAGGCAGCGGGGCGAATTTAGGGGATCGTGCCCATTGGGAGGCGTTGACTGAATGATCAGTTCATGCGTCTTTGTTTGGTAGATTACCAAACAGGGGCCCAATACTCCCCATGAAGTCAGCACAATTGCTGGAATACAATGCCACACGGAGGTGGAACATTGTCGACGAACACTTTGCTGGAACGGGGTACACCCGAACCACGCAGCTGGCACCACGAGGCAGTTCAGCAAGCCAGCCAGTACTCTACCGATAGCTGGTTGGAGAACCAATGATGAAGCCCGCTAGTTGGTGTTTACCAACAAGCGACCTGTCGCCGCACTAGGGCGTTATATTCAAGCTTCTTAAAATCGCTAAGCTTTCCTTGACTCGAAAGGCGTCCTCGACTGTGCTGACCACGCCAGTTTGTGGCAATGCTTATCTATGAGGAGCGTGTCAGCTAAACTCCCTCTCTCTCTCTCTCTACTGTGACTCCCAAAACCGAGTAAGGGTCACTGTGAAGCTGTCCCATGAGTTGCGCACGATCAGTGTGGTTAGCCAGGGTTGTCCCATATCATCATTCCCCTTCAACTTTGTGATCCGAATGGTCGTGAATGACTCAGTTCACCTCAAATGGGGTACCTTGCCAAATGCCTTCGAAAAGTCGATGAAAAGCACGTCCAGTGTGTGGCCGTTATCC